GCTCTCCGAGACCGAAGCGAGGATCGTACGCTTCGAGGAGATGATGCAGCGCCTCACACCGTTCATGCCGCCTATATTCGACCAGTATGGCTTTCCGACGACATCTCGGCAGCCAGATGATCCTGAGGATGATCCGGAGGACGCACCCGCCAATCTCGGCAATGATACACCGGTTGATCCATATACATCTTTGTATTATAACTCTTTCTAAATTATTGTATTATACTTTTTCTGAATTATGAATCTTGTTTTGTTTTTAATTAATTCGTATTTCTAATTTATGAATTTGTTTTTAAAATTAATTTTTTAAATATGTAAATTAATTATAAATTTTTTGTTTTTTTTAATTACTTTTACAACGTTTGCGACGGATATAATCGGTCGTAATCCGTCGCAGTTAAGTGCGACGGACCGTAATCCGTCGTTACGTTCGGAAATCAATAAAGCGACGCATACACGACGGATATATGTCGTCGGTAAAGTTTGCTACGGATAAGTCCGTCGCAATGTGCGAGAAACAGAAACGCGACGGTCTACGACGAACTTATATCCGTCGGTAAAATAACGACGGATAACGACGGAAATTTCCGTCGTACTTGTGCGACGGTTAACCGACTGAAACAAATTTGCGACAGCTCCGTACCGACGGATTTGTCCCCGTCGTGATCCGTCGCAAAGAAGCTGTTGCGACGGATATTTGTTCGCTGTGCGACGGATATTTGTTCGCTGATATTTCCGTCGCATATGCATTGTATTTTTGTAGTGAGAAGACCCATACCAAATAATGTTTTTTATCTTTGTATTTGTTATAGTAATTAGCAATTTAATTAGTTCCCCATCTAACCATTTTCATAATTTTCTCCTATGATTTTTGCATGGTACACTCGATCTATTTCACATGAAAATATAAACATGATATGTTATTGTAGATATTTACCACTGAAATATGTTATCTTAGCCAAAATGGATTATTACGCTGATGGAACTACTAATAACTCGACGTCAATTATATTGTATATATCATTAATATAATTAAATACAAAATTTTTAGTTACGGATAAAATTTATTGGAGACACTGAAAATAAAATTCGTAAGTTCTATATGAAAATTTTGATATTCTTAATTAGATAGTTGATGAGGGCGCCTGGTGTGCTATCTATGTATACACATCGAATCATTATATATATAATTCATGGAAACAACCTTCCAATAAATCCAAGAAATTATTCGGGGTTTTTTTTTCGGATATTTTTGTTTAGAATAATTAAACTTTATAGGGTTTTTTTTGCAGCTGTTGAATTTGATCGAATCATATTACATTTAAATTAGAGGGAACAAGAGAATCACAACCTTATGGCAAGGGTCCTTATGGTAGATTGCATATTTACGACATCGGGACCGAAGTTAGGTTTCATATTTCCTCTTGCAATAAAACTTGGGATCACTAATTTAGATTCTGGAGGACCGATATCGATCTGTGGTTGAGTTATTGACATGTGACGAAAAAAAAAAGAACAAAGCAACCTAATTTCAATGTTTTAATCTCAATGTATTTGGAGTTGTTTTAGTGAATTTTTTAATGTTTGTAAGAAAAGTGTATTAGGGTTTTGGTTCATGCGGGACATGCAAAATACGGCTGTATTGAAAACGTCGTCTAGAAACTCTTCCATTGGAGAGAACTTAATTATTTTCGATTTAATTTGATCATAAAACAAAATGTGTATGTTGAAAAATATTTAAAAACGTAATCGATCGGCTCTTAATGCCTTTATACCTAATTGTGTATATTGAAAAGACAAGAATCATTTTCAACATGTCACATTCATTGGATATTCAATCTATGCATAGTTGTGTTCATTGATGTCTTTTCACTCATTCTTTGTGATTCAATGGTTTAGTATAGCGACGGATATAACTGCCAATAAATTTTAATGATGGTTCGCGACGCGCACACGCATTTATTTGTCGTACATTCGTTACAATACTGTAAATTTTCACAAGAGATTTCTTGTGTCACAAACTATATAGTCTAATTATATATTACATAGTTTTGTACCAAAGTGCTAATACGTGACAACTTTTTCTGCTTTCAAATATATTTTAGGACAAAATAGTAAGACTTGGAGTTCAGCCAATGTGAGAGACCTACCTTTACTCTATAACATGTTACAAGCTCGGAAAAAAGTGTTGTGATTCATCGACGTCAGAGTTGTGTACATATACAATCGAAAGGACCAACAAACCTCGTAAAATCAGAAACATATCTACAAGAGATATGGAAAGACCCAACAAGAAGATACACGGTATATACGCAAGGGTATACTTGGCATAACACTCTATCACTCTAGATCTTAGTCGTTACTGCAATTTGTTCAAGAAAACGGTTTTTTTTTTTTTATAATTCGGAAATTCAATATACTTTCGAACCAGTTACATCTCTTAAATGACCAAAAAATCTCATGTAAATACCTTTGTCAAGTATATGTTTAGATAAATTTTGTTAGATAGTTTCTTATCGCTGCATTATTATTATATATTATTTTGCGACCCATTTATCTATCGTTTCATAACGCTAATTCTTTTTTGTAGTAGTCCGGCCATTATAAAAGCGCGAAACAATTTGCTAATAATTAAGATACTAAAAGATGAATGATGGACTTGATTTATGAAGATGATCATGATAATGTATGATTTCTTTTAGAAGCCTTGTTCTAATTACGTAATTCCTCAACCCTACCCAAACTTTTTTTTTTTGATAATCCGGAAATTCATCAGATCTTTGGTCCGACTACATCTCCCAGAGAACCGGAGAAATCCAGGTGAATGTCCCTCCCCACCTTGGATTTGAATCCAGGGTGAGAGCATGCTTTGCATGTTCTCTCACCACTAGGCCACCCAAACTTGGGTAAACCCTACCCAAACTTAGGTAGTTAAACTAGGGAAATTGACGCAAAGCGTCTGTCCCGTCCCGAGTTTGAACCTCAAACTTGGAAAGTGAGCGTATATTCCAAATCACATGGTTGGCTCCCGGTTTCGGGATTAATTTGGACTTTGATCTAGGATACCCGGTTACAAAAAAAAACTCTTCAGTCCTAACTAAAATATTTACAATTTTTTTGCATAACAAATAAAGAAAGGCTGATAATAATAATAACTCAGTCGTTGCCAATCAATCTCCAACGTCAATTTTACGTTTATTGCGTAACTAACCAATTTACATCAATGGACCGATCATTTAACCGTCAGGCCAATGAAAGAGAACCTAAAACGGGAATTTCAGGATCGAAAATCAAGCCATTAAAAAACTATAGGCTTGTAATATTCGGTGCATGAAATATCACAGTCATTGATGACTGTTAAAACTGCCAAATGCCAACCATGCACCCAGGGCCGTTTTGAAGCCTTGCGTTTCAATAACCAAATCGAACAAACTACTACGTACTCCCTCCGTTTTATTTTACATGTCGTTTAATATTTAAACACACAAATTAAAAAATAATAATTTGTCCAAAATACCCTTATTTATTACATAGAAAATTATTATTTCTAAATATATAGAAAATTTAAATATTATTAATTAGGGATAATTTAGTTGGAGTCGATTCGATTATTCGATTAATAACTAATATGATCATATTTTTATACTTGATTTTTTTATCCATAAAATTGGGATATATATTATTGATGCATAAAATGATTTATGTTCAAATGATGTTTTTTTGTATTTAATATTTTTTTCTTTTGGATAGGGAAAACATATATGAGAGGATATGCATGCATGCCGGGAAAATGGATTTACTATGGATTCGACTGGTATTCCACAGCAGTTGCGATTGTGAGTAACGGTATTTTCGGAACGTTTGATAGAGATTATGAACGATTAGTACTGACTAGATGATAAGTTGTTGTTGGCAGCAATTGCAAGTGGGTGCGGTTAGAAGTGAATGGTTCGTTGCGGTTGTGGTTACGTTTTGATATAAATTATCAAAAAGAATATTATTTTAAAATAATTTTTTATAATAATTTTAATTAAATTTTTAGTATCATTTGATAAAAATTATATACTAAAAATATAAAATAATTAAATAATAAATTTAAATATAAATATTATCAATTTATTTATTTTTAAGTAAACAAATAATTTTATTATAAAACATATTAAAAATAATCATTATTAAACCTAAAAATTATACTATTGTATTTTTATTAAAATATAATACTAAAAACTAATATCAAATCATAACAATAAACAAAATCATCACCAATATATATATATATATATATATATATTAATGTTTTATATAATTTTTAATAAGAATATTTTAATTTTTTGTCAAGACGCCGGAAATCGCTATCAAAACGCATGTTGAAAGCTGCGATTTTCTACAAATTTGGTTGCGTTTGTAGGTAGTTGCAATTCAACCAGATAGTTTTTCAATCATCTGCAACCGCCGGAAATTGTAACCGATTCGTTTGTGAATAGTCGCGGTGCAACCAGTCACCCTATATATCTAATAAATTAAAGAGGACGAAACATTTATATAAATATTTTGACTTTTATGTCTATATTTTAGTGATAATAATTGAATTCAGCTGTATTGAACCCTATTGTCATAATATTATAGAATGCAAAGGGAAAAGAACTTGCAAGAAACACACGTAAGAAAATTTTGAATGTACTATTTAAAAAGCAATTAAATCTTTTTTACATTTAACTTTTGTAATAATAAAAAAGGAAAAAGATTTTAGACAACAACATAAATATTTAAAATTTTAGTTTGATTGAAATATATAATACATTTAAAATTGAGACTTTTACATTGTAGTTGCCTGGATAATGCTATATCTTTTTGCTGATTCACATACACATTATATATTTATAACATGCAAAAGAAAATTTAAAATTTGTTTAATAAAACTTGCACATAACTACATACATAGAGATTGTGAGACGTGGCCGATGGCAGATTCAATGCCCTATAAATAAGAGGAAGGGGAGTGTAACTTGGACAGAAAACCAAGACACCAATTAGGGTTTTGTTTTAAAAATCACTTATCTCCAAATTCCAAAAATGGCAAAGAGTTGTAATTTGCTGTGCGTCGTGGGGGTACTACTGACTTTGTCAGTTGCCGGTCGAGTTTCCGGTCAACAGACACCAAAGTCAGCTCTGTTTCCCTTCGGAGACTCTTACTACGACCTCGGGAACAAGAAATATCTCACGACAGAGTTTCTTCCATGCACTACTTGGCCGTACGGAAAATCCACCGACCGTCCTAACGGCCGTTACTCCGACGGCAAGATCACCCCCGATTTCCTCGGTATGGGTCGTATCATTTTATTCGATCGAATGAACCCTATTCACCATTATGATTATCCAAAGTTTTCTAACCATAATGTTTTCCGAAAAATGCAGCTATATTCCTTAACCAACCGATTACGATCCCACCGGCCCTTCAACCCGACGCCGACGTCTCGAGTGGAGCCGGCTTCGCCGTTGGTGATGCAACCGTTCTTGGAAGCCCATCAGCAACTGTAATAATTTCTTTCTAAGGATGAGATTTGGATCATGCTTTACATGTACATATATATATATATATCCATTATAAGAACCCTAATAAGTGAGTGTGATATGATACGGCATTTCTTGTTTTGGGCATGTGAATGTTTCAGTTGACATTGTCTCAACAAGTGGCGGAATTCGAAAAGCAGAGGTCGAAGTGGACAGCGGAGTTTCTGCAAGAAGCCATTTTCATTTTCCAGATTGGAACGAACGATTATCTCAACTTCAGCAAGTACTATCCCTCGCCCGACGCCTCTACTCAACAGGGTTTTGTCACTATGGTCACTAACGCAATCGAGAACGAGCTTGTCGTAAGTCCGACCATATTAATTATATGGTATCGATCAAAACGCATATTATAAACTTCGAATGTGTGAATTAATCTGTTATATTTATCTGTGTGTGTGTAGAGGCTTTACAAGTTGGGAGTAAGGAAATTTGGATACCAGACGTTGGCACCACTCGGTTGCTTCCCCATCGTGAAACAAGAACTCAATCTTCTGGGAGATGATTGCTACGAGCCACTGAACGAAATAGCAAAACAACACAACGAAAAGATAAGGCCGATGTTGAAATCTTTAGCCCAGAAATACAGCGGCTTTCAATACACCGTTCTTGATTTCTACAGCGCCATCTCCCGCAGGCTTGTTAACGATGGCACTCAGATTTTCAATAACTACAGTGAGTGGTTTCTTTCTTACAGCGCCTTTCTTGATCGTTTAGACAAAACCCTTCTCTGTTCTTTCTCGCTACATGCCAACTTAACTCGATCTACGTGTATGGTTTTGTGCTAAAACGTGGATTAGGGTTTTCCAACACGATCAATTCTTGCTGTGGAATCGGAACGAACAACGCTTTCGGGTGCGGACGCATTAACGTTCACTCCAACTTGTGCGAATACCCGAGAGAATACCTCTTCTTCGACGGCTTTCACAACAGCCAGAAAGCCAGCGAAGAAATCGCTCACCTCTTCTTCAGCGGCAACAAAGACATTGTCGGTCCAATGACCCTCCGTGAACTTAGTGTTTACCCTAATGGAATGAACATGCTCGAGTACTAGAACACTACAATATGTCCCTCGGATCAATTAGTTTCCTAATTGATTCTGCTGCTTCTACGTTATGTGTGAAGATGAATAAGTCCTGAGTTCGTGTTGTAATCGTTGTTATATGCAATGAAAATAAAGGGATATGCTCTGTGTTAGCACCCTTCATTAATAAATCACTTCCAAGAATATGCATACACACACACAAGTATACTAATGTAAGTGTATATATAATATATGTATATATGGATATGTGTGTATATGTTATATATATGTGTGTATAAACATGCATATCAATGTATATGTGTATTTATGTAAGTGTATATATATAAGGTGTGCATATATATGTGATTAATATGTGTGTATGATAAGCATGTATATGTATATGAATATGTATTTTTAATTTTTAAAATTTTCAAAATTTTACAATTTTAAATTTTTAGAATTTTAAAATTTTGTAGTTTTCTATTAAATTTAATTTAATATTTTTTTAAGTTTTAAGTTCACTTGATCTTTGACTAGATTTTCTATTTATAAGTCAATATACGTTTGTGTTATCATGTTAAACGTTCGTCTTACTATGTTATCGATTTTGCAAATCGTTGTAAAGTTTGTGATTTAATATAACAATTAGAAATAGTTGTCATATTTTTGGAAAACTTTAAAATTTGGTGTATTTACCTCAAATTTCATATTAAGTCCGTATGTTTACGTGCGATTATTTACTTTTCTACAACAATTAATATTTGTGCATGGATTTTGTTACAGCTGTTGCCGATTTGATATCTATTTGGTAACAATTATTCGATAAAATTGAAATTGGATATTCTGGTACACATTTAAACAATTTTGTATTTTAATAGAAATTTCCCAATTTTAAAAAATATACATAATAGGATGCGTACGCCTAAATTTATGCGCGTGGGCGGAGAGAACAAAGCTTATTGTCGTCATATTAAATTGTCGTGACAGTGAACTTGTGACCTGTGAGCTGTTGTCAGATTCAGAGCGACCTACCTCGGACCACATTGAATCCGATTAGATAATTTCACGGTCCATTTCATTTCCCCTCTTTTGTCGGCCAAATTTGTGTCTACCTTATTAAATTTGCTAGGCTTACGTGGCTTTCTTTTTATTACATTTTAATAGCACAACCTGGCTTTAGTAGGATGATATATCACACAAAAATCAGATATGAACACCACTTTTTTCCATCGTGCGGAAAAAAATGGGAAGAGTCAAAATAGGATTATAGACAAGTCTCGGTAGTTGATTAATAGAGTTTATTTTTTCAAATTAAAGAAAATTTTAAATTTGTGCAGCATATTAATGAATATGTGCAGTAAACTTTTTTTTAGTGGTGAATTATTTTCTAGTTTTTTTAAAGGATAATTGTATTATGCACAAAGTGCTGGAATAACACCTTTGTTCTTTGTTCTATTTTTTTGTTCTATTTTCGAGATGTAGATTCACTTCACCTCTCGCCAACATTTATTCACTGTAAAAAAAAAGTTTATCGGTAGCGATGAAATTTTTCGTCCCTATAACTTTCTCGCAAACACTATGGTCCTTAATCCGTCCCAGGTTCGGCAGAATTGTTCAGTCATTTATCAGTAGCCAATTTTATCGCAATTTGCAACGGAGTGGTGACGGTTATATCGTTGCAAATTCTCATTGGAACAAGAGGACTAATGTAGTCGCAATCATGCTGTAATATCCCGATTCCCGAATAAATTATTTAATTTAATTTCGGGAATAAAACAGAGTAAAACAAGCCTAAAAATATAAGATGATTGACATAAATATCGAATCAAAGGATAAGTGGAGCTAATAAAACACGTCGAAATCATCGAAAAAACGAAGGAAAAATGGTCTAGACCGATCGGTCAAGAGGTAGACCGACCGGTCCAGGGAAAAAACGAAGAAAAGACGAAAAACGGGTCAAGACCGAGCGGTCCAGAGTGTAGACCGATCGGTCTGCATGCTCGCGAGCCAGACCGGACGGTCCGACACTTAGACCGGACGGTCTGAGAGTTAGGGGAAAAGTGGCCGAAATTTCTGAGTTTCTTCCACTTTCGGCCGCGATTTTCTCGTGACACACCGACCCCACGCGCGAACGAACGCCACCCAGACGTAGTGGACGACATCCTCTGGCCCTCCTACCCTCTCCCTAGCCCCCCTATGGCGGCGTTAGACGTCGATTTAACCGGCTCCAACAGGTGAAGATCACCATTCTGCAACCCAGAAATCTGTTATTCGAAGGTAGAGAAAAATAGAGAGATTCAGGGGGATTTGAGGTGAAACAAGCTCGGGAAATCCAAGAGGGACATCCCTAGAAGGTTCCTGGAAAATTTCACGACCAGAGACGGCCCGAAAACGCACACGAGCTCGGACAAAAACGCACAACACTTGAATCTGAGATGAGTGTTTTGAGTTGTGTTTGTGAGATTCAATTCTCATGATTTATGGTGTAGATTAGTGTTTCTACAAGAATTAAGGACTTAGAAGTGTTAAATAATGAGTGGATAGCAATCAGAGTCGAAATCGGATCAAAATTTGGACAAAAATGGCGAAAATTGGGTTGGATCTCGCAGGGAAGACGAAGTCCAGGTCCCAGACCGACCGGTCTGGGCCACGAACAGAACGAACGGTCTGGGAGGGAGCTGGACTGTCTGGTCCACATAGTCCTAGACCAATCGGTCTAGGACTGGACCGACCGGTCTAGGTCACAGATGAAAAATCGATCTGAAAATGACCTAGACCGACCGGTCTATGCCCATACCGATCAGTCTAGGGGTAAATAGGATACGAAGGATCAAACGAAATAGGATAAAACAAGTATGTCGAACAAATGTGAAAAAGGTAGAAGTGCATAAAAGGAAAGGAATTAAACCGCAAACCGAAGTGAATACGAAGGATAAATCTAAGAGAAAAACTCGGAAATGGTAATATAGAAATAATGGATAAATAATTATGATGATACATATGATTGAATTATTAATGGATCCCGTACTTAGTACCGGTTGACGGCGTGAGTCAGTACTAGTATGGGGACGTGTGGATATGGAACCAGTGCCGGTTGACGACCTTGGAGTCAGCACTGGTGTGGGGGTGGTTTCGGTAGTAGTACCGGTTGACGAACTTGGAGTCAGTACTATTACCGAAATGTAACACTAGTACCGGTTGACGATGTGGAGTCAGTACTGGTGTTGTTGTGTGGACGTTTCCATAACGGTGACGGTCGACGAAGAGGAGTCAATACCGTCATGGGAATGTGTAGTGAAGCTAGTACCGGTTGACGACGTGGAGTCAGTACTGGTGAATCTGTGTGGTCGTCTCTGTAATAGTACCGGTTGACGATGTGGAGTCAGTACTATTATAGAGAAGCAGGATGGAATCTAGTACCGGTAGACGAATTGAGTCAGTACTAGATGAGACCGAAAGGAAATGGTACCTGATGGTGTCGGTTGACGACTTGAGTCAGTACTGTCAGGTATCAGAAATGCATGGAATAATGATAATGAATTAAAAATGATTATTGAGAAAATATTAAATGGATAAAATAAGGAAACGTGTGTTTTGGAACTGTGGAACAAGGTTCCATGTGAAGACGAATGTGTTTAATTACGTTTTTGGACATGTGTTGTTTTTAAGCAACGTGTGGTGTGTTTATTCCGCTGCGTATCTTTATGTAAAATGATTTTTAATTTCCCGTACTTTCGGTTTTATTATATTTTATTGATTTCGCCCATGTGGCATATCCTGTTCACGGGATACGGGATTCGGGTGTCACACGTGTCACGGTAACGCGCGATGGAATGGGACGCAGATCGATCGTGGTCTGTAGATTTTTTTTTTGGTAATTGTAAATTTTATATATGCAATATATAGTTACAATTGTGTCTAGCTCTGGTGATTGAACCAGACAGAAAATAAAAACAGCAGGATATTACAACCAGATAAAGTAAACAACAAGTCAATTAAATCAGAATATCTCAAAATAACGGAACCATATAAATAGCAACGAGTCCTCAGGGTGTGTGTATCTCCAGTCGTTCTTAAGACTAACAAGCCTCCTACGAGTCGAGGTAAGAATCTCCTTCGTGGTAACTGGAGCCGGTCGTGATGTGTTGTCGTGCAAGTGGGTGTTTCGTTCTCGCTAGACTTGGTAAACTGCACCTTGAAACAACAGGTGGATCATGAGCTTCATCTCTCGATTAGCAGTAGACGAACCTATCCATCGTAGTGTATCTGTGAAGGACCTAAGTGGTGGGATCGGTAGATTGCATATTCCCTCTAAGTAGGGGTGGGCACGGGTCGGATACCCGGGAAAATCGAGAGATTTGGATTCGGATCCGGGAGGTTCGGGTATTTAACTATAAGATTTGTATCCGGGATTTGGTATTTACGAGTATCCGGGGTACGGGTATCCGGAATAATAGTCGAGTACTCGCGGATATCCGGATCCGGATTTATTTAAGTAAAACAACAATATTCATATATAAAATTTTCAAAACATGAAGATATATTTATAAAAATTGATGAATTATGATAAAATATACAAGACAAAAGAGATAATAAGAGACAAATAATAATAAATTTAATTTTTTTGAATTAATATTAAAAAAATATAAAATTATTTTATCTAAAATAATTGTATTTTATAAAAATGTTATATAAATATAAGATATAATTATTTATAATCATAATAGGCGGGTACCCGCGGGGGTTCGATTTTAAAAATTCTATTATCCGGATTCGGATCCGGATTCACGGGTATTGAAAAATCAGGATTTGGATTCGGATTTGAAAATTACGAGTATCTTAAAATCGGGTATCCGTGAGACGAGTATCCGACGGATACCTGATTTTCGGGTATTTGTGCCCAGCCCTACCTCTAAGTGATAGGATCGTGGTCTGTAGATTGCATATTCCCTCTAGCAATAATGGACAAGATTCTTTAATGACAAAGGGCCGAAGTTAGGTTAGATATATTTTCTCTTGCAATAAGCTTTTGTTCATTAATTTAGATATCGGGGGACCGATTTCGATCTGTGTGATTGAGTTTGCTCGATATGGACCGACACGTGACAAAAATACAAGAAAGCAACCTAATCTCAATGTTTTAATTTTTAATGTATGCGTTTGGAGTCGTTTTAGTGAATTTAGTGTTTGTAATGAAAGTGTATTAGGGTTTTTTTTACAAAAAAAAAAATAGCGTATTACGGTTTAGGGTTTTGATTCATGCAGGACATGCAAAATACGGCAATATTGAAAACATCATCTAGAAACTCTTCCATTGGAGAGAACTTAATTATTTTCAATTTAATTTGATCAAAAAACAAAATGTGTGCGTACAAAAATATTTAAAAACGTAATCGACCGGCACTTAATGCCTTTTGTACCAAATTGTTGAATTGAGTGGTCCATTTGTGTACATTGAAGAAACAAGAATCATTTTCAATATGTCACATTCATTGGATACCATATGTAATCTATGGATGGTTGTGTTCATTAATGTCTTTTCACTCATTCTTTGTGATTCAATGGTTTACACAAAGTACAGCTACTGATATAACTGCCGATAAATTATTAAATTATAACGACGGTTTACAAAGAAATCTTTTCATGTAGAGAATATTCACCGCCGTTACCAGTATTTTGAGATTTCGTTGTTACCAATATCATATGATATACAAACAATATTTCATTAATATATAGTCTAAACATATGAATATGTTATATATTTTGTACCAAACATGACATAGTTAACTTTTGTTTTGCTCACAAACTTTGGAGCTTTAGGACATAATCGTTGGACTTCCGATTCTCAGAACATCTTATTTTAGTCTTTAGTACTACAATTTGTTCAGACAAATCTTGTTAGATATATAGTTTCAAATCCCTCGCAAACGCTATTTTGTAACTGATTTTCTATCGTTTCATAACACGATTTTTTTATTTATAAAAAAATCATAACATTACAAAAAAAAATGCAAAATAATTTGCTAATAATTAAGGGCTAAAAGATTAATGATGGATTTGATTTATGAAGAGGATCACGACGATGATGCATGATTTCTTTTAGAAGCCTTATTCCTTATATAACACTCTTCACCCCTAACCAAAATAATAATAAAAAAATAGTAATTATAATATCTCAATGGAGGCCAACCAGTCTCGAACATTATTTTGTATTTATTGCGTAGCTATCCAATTTACATCAATAGGGACCTGTCATAATAATCATTAGGTCTATTGACTATAACGCCAAAATTCGTGGTTGAAAATAAAAATATCATTATATATATATATATGTATATATATATATAGTTTCATAAGCGCTGCTGTTAAAATTGCCAAATGCCAACCATGCATACACGCGGGGAAAATGCATTTACTATATCTAATAAATTAAAGAGAACGAAACATTTATATAATATTTTGATTTTTATGTCTATATATTAGTGATAATAATTGAATCCAGTTGCTTTGAACCCTTATAAAATATTACAGAATGCAAGAGGGGAAAAACTTACAAAAAGCCACTAAGAAAATTTTGAGTGTTCTACCTTTAAAAATCAATTAAAATATTTGTACATTTAAGTTGTGCAATAGTAAAACGGAAAATGGCAAGAAACTTTTAAAATAAATTTGTTTGAATGAATATCTATTATTTTTTTAAATACCATTTATACTTTTACATTATTTTGTCTTGATAATAAATATTATATCCTTTGGTGATTCAAATACAAAATATATCATTATACCCAACAGTTGGTGTTCCAGTGATTAAAAGGTGACAAAGTTATTCTTAAAATCCTGGATTCGATTCTATTGGTGGGGAGGGATGTAATTTCTGGATAAAAAATGATCCATATACAAATGTTGGTTCCGGACCTAGGATGAATGTAGTGGGGTCAGAAGACCCCAAAACCATAAAAAAAACATATCATTATAACATGCAAAAAAAAAACTTGTTGAATAAAAGTTGCACATAACTATAAACATAGAGATGTGAGACGTGGCTAAAGACAGATTCAATGCCCTATCAAAAAGAGAGGGGAAAATGCATCTTGGGCAGACAACCCAAACGCCAATTAGGGTTTTTTTTTTTCTTCTTAAATCACTCATATCCAAATTCCAGAATGGCAAAGAGTTGTAATTTATTGCGTGTGTCGGGGGTATTAATGAGCGTTGTTGATTTCTACAGCGCTATCTCCCGCTGACTCGTTTGCTATAGCACCGAGTTGGACGAATACAGTGAGTGGTTTCTTACAGCATCTTTCTCGATCATTTAGACCAAGCCCTCCTCTGCGCTTTCACTTCATGCAAACCCTAATTCGATCCACCTGTGTGTTTTGTGTTAAAACGTGAATTAGGGTTTTCCAACACATCAATTCTTGCTGTGGAATCGGATCACAACGCGTACGGGTGCAGAAACATTTACGTTCAACGAATAAATCGCCCACCTCTTCTTTAGTGGTAGCAAAGACATTGTCGGTCCAATGACCCTCCGTGAACTTAGTGTTTACCCTAATTGTATGAAGGTGCACGAGTACTAAAACACAATGTGTCCCTCGGATCAATTAGATTCTACGTTATATGCGAGGATGAATATATTCTGAGTTCGTGTTGTAATCATTGCTATCAGCAATTAAAATAAGGGGATATGAAAATAAGAAGAATCTGTATCAAAAGAAATCTCGAAATCAAACAAAAATCTGTACTAGACATTGGCTCCACTCGGTTGCCTCCCGACAGTGAAACAAGAACACCAGCTTGCGGGAGATGCTTGCTACGAAACACTTAACCAAATACCAAAACAGCACAACGACAAGATCAGACCGATGTTGAAAGATTTAGCCCTAAACTACTCCGGTTTTCAGTACACCGTTCTTGATTTCTACAGAGCCATCTCTCGCAGGCTCGTGAAAGATCCGGAAGCCGCTTTCAACAGCTACAGTATGATTCCCAAAAGCCCTAACTCTCGATTTTTTCTACTACTATATGTGATTTTGAGACATGGGTTTGTGCTAAAAATGTGGATTAGGGTTCTCAAACACGATCGACTCGTGCTGTGGAATCGGATCAAACAATGCGTTCGGGTGCGGATACATCAACGTTCACTCGACTTTGTGCGAGTACCCCAGAGAATACCTCTTCTTCGACAGCCAACACAACACTCAGAAGGCGAACGAGGAGATTGCCAATCTCTTCTTCAGCTGCGACAAAGACATTGTCGGCCCGATGACCCTTCGTGAGCCCAGTGTTTACCCGACCAGAACTAACATGCTCGAGTACTAAACTAAGCGTGTCCCTAAAAACAATGTCCCTGAGTTCAATTAGGGTTTTGTAATCTGAGGAATAAGTCCGAGCTTGTAACTAGTTCTCGGTATAACATGGAAAACTGTCATCGTCCTTTGTCAGATCCAGACATTTTCGTCCATGTTAACCACCAGAAAACGTTTAATAGAAACTGGATGGATATATATTCAAGGATGTTTTTTAACAACTGGGTAACTCGAAACAGTCTTATTACTACGCTCGAGATCTGCGTCTAGGCAAAGCGAACACTGCCACCATAGATGATGGCTTATTCCTTCATAGTAACGTACATGCAGTAATATCATCATCAGATGATAAACGAGCTCGCCCGGTCGACTTGGTACAGCCACTGGTTCTTAGTTCCCCATTCCAACGAACCCATATCGTAGATATTGTGGATTTTGCTCCTCGTGTCCTTGGCAGAAGCCTTGGTGTTCGATACGGAACCGAAGATGACGGGAATGTCCAGAGGAAGAAAGAGAAGTTCCCGGAGATTGATAGGGTTTATGACATCTTTGTCTGCACTCCAAATCAGCTGTCCGATCTGGAAATTGGCCTCTTGTGTCAAGTGTTTACCGTCGAAGAAAACGTAATCCCGTGGCTTGGAGCATACGGAATTGGTTCCACAGCCCGTCCCGTTGTAAACTCCGGTTCCACAACAAGCAGCATTTCCCTTTGCAAACGCTGAACCAACAAGAAGGAAATAGGGTTGAGAATATGCATATCAGAAACCGATAAATTCAAGGAAGGTTGAAACGATCGGTAATGACTTACTGTAAGTCTCTGGGAGGTGAACCCGTCTTTGGATCAAGCCGAAGAAATTATAATACGAGTATTGGAAACCCTTGAGATCTCGTCCTAGCTTCCCCAACAGCTGAATCAGCTTCTCGTTATGAAGAGCGGCCAATTCGGAAGGCAACTCCACACATTCAGCATCGCCTTCTTCTCCGTCTTCTTGTTTCACGGCTGGTAAGCAACCTAATGGCGCGAGGTTCTGGAAGGCAAACTTTCTCCCTCCAGCTCCATACACAGCCTTTTTATCATGAATGTGATTTTTTTTATCAGACTTCCAAAAAACAGATGACCGGTTATTAGTGGTAATGTTATTGAAACTCTTACCTTTATGGCTGCATCTATTGCAGTGATGATCTGATCCACTATAGATTGTTTCTGATCATCGGAGGGACTCGGGTTCTCCTTCGCATAGTCCAGGTAATCGTCACCGCCGATGTGAAACAGGTAGACAGCTTTCGATCGTTCATCGTCAGTCCATTTGTTCTTGTTCTCAGAGAATTTCATCACTTGCTGTCCAAGAGTCATCTGAAAGTTTAATCGGAAAAAAGGAAGACTATGCATTAGCAGATCAAGCCTTTCGACATAACACAATTTCCTTATCAGAGATACCTACAAGAACAGACATGAGCATGTTGAAGTATATGTTCTTTTACACAATACCAAGGAACTAAACCGGAATCTGTTCTGTTTCATCTCAAGTTCTTCATATCTATGTGCTAATTTCCCCTCTGGAAAGGGTTAATTTTGGAATCAAGACATAAACCACAACATTATACTCATTCTGTCCCATTTTCACATAATACTACATACTGTAAATGTCAAGAACACTTTACAGAGATTTTTTCCATGAAATTTGACACAACGGGTAATGAAAGAAAAATCAAAGTTAGGATCTTTGGATCAAACCCACAAAACTAGAAATGAAACGTCAGGCGTATTGATTAAAAAAAGGTGTTTTTTATATGGTTTGTGTAAGAAGATTTTGAAACAGAGTATATCAGTGTTAAAACCCACCGTCTCCGGCGGCGATCCAAGAACGGTGGCTCCGGCGACGGCGAAGCTCGCTCCGTTAGAGAAATCAGACTTGGTATCGAGAATCGGAGCAATCCGAGGAATACCCATGAACCCAGCTGCAAAAATAAGTTTCGATTTTTAGAGTTTTCTCATTCATCTCCGAAATCACCCCAAAATTCTCTGCGATTCATCACCCGATTCAGATACCCACCTAGAAAATCCGGCACGACAAGACCGTCCGACCACCTTCCGGTGGCCTCGCCGATGGTGACGCCGTACGGAGGAGCGTTCGCCGATATTACGTTACTGGAGAGGAACTGCTTGTTTCCGACGTCGTAGAAACCGTCTCCAAATACGAAGAGGGTTTGGGCTTCGCATGTGGTTGGGTGGTGAAGAAGAAGAGAGAGGGTGAAAATCAGGAAGCTAAAGAGAAAGGAAATGAAGCGGGTGAGTGGATCCGCCATTACAGAGGAAGAGAAAAGCTCGCCATTACAGAGGGAGAGAAAAGCTCGGTCAGAAAAATGTCGTTACAGAGCCTTCAAACGAGTTAACTGAAGAAGGACCGCGATCCGCGTTTTCTACACCTATTCTGTTTGCGTTAGCGTTTCCAAATCGCGTTTGCGTTTACGTAGGGGTGATAGATTCGGTTTTTTCTTTGGATTTGTTTTTTTTTTTTGAAGCTTTGGATTTGGTTATTACTAAAAATTATAATTATTCGTTTTAATTATATTCATTTTTTTAAATATAAAAAATTATAATCATTCGATTTCGATCTCGTATTGGTGATCATCCCTACCATTAGTTCAAATTACTTATTTACTATAAATTTTGAAAGGTAAATTCACGATTGAATTTGTCAAATCTATTTTCCATACAATTGTAACGCGCCACTACATAATATTTATGCAAAAAACTTACATATTCGAATAGCAAATATTATAACTTCATTAAATCTATAATTTTATCAAATGACAATGGCAACCTCAGTGGGAATTATTTATAATAGTTGTACTACATATTTAAGTCATCTATATTATCCAAATTTGGATGGTTTAGTGATAGAAGAATATATAGATCATATTTTTATGCCGAATTCAAATCTAAGCATGAGAAGAGTCATTTTTTCAATATATTGGGAGACATAATTAGATCAAATACCCGGTAAATTTTTTAATTATTAAAAAAAACATATATACGTTTTGAAAATTGAGCAGCAACCGTGAGATAATTTCATGAAGAAGAACTTAGTGGAAACAAAATAAATAGCCAAAACGTATTTCATGGACGATATGTCGATATATATATATATATATTGATTTTACGTGTCAAGTAATAATTTCGAAGATGGACCATTTCATCTGTTTTTCGTGGGTGTTAATGAGGGGGGTAGTTAGCTTGTTTACAGTATAATAACAAAATTATAATAAATGCATCAAACAAGATATATGTGAAGAATTTTGACAAAAAAAAAAAGAAGATATATGTGAAGAATATCCATGCAGATGCCCTTAACATACTGCATATATAAATATTATCATTTAAAACACGAAATTATTTTATAAAACTCTACGTGTACATCAGAGCCGTCCCGAACGATTTACGGGCTTTGTACAAAATATATTTTTATTTTTTATTTTTATAAAATATTAAATAATTGTTTTCAATTATATTAATTGATAAATTTAATATTAAAAAATCACAAACATAACTCAAAAATTGTAAATATTAATGATGATAATTACAAAATTTTATGTCAAATATAATTTTAATTATTTATCATATGTATATTAATAAATATAATTATAAATTATTAGTATTTAAAAATCATTTTTTAAAAATATAGGGCCATCAAATTGTGGGGCCCTGTACCTTGTTCCACTTGCACAAGCCTTTTTACGGGGGAATATTACTCAAATAATCCACTTGGGTCGCAGCAATTTCAGTGTACACCACCGAAAAAAAAAAAAAATTTGCGACCTTATTACGACTAATATATAACTAATATACAACTTATTACGACTAATAAACTACTCTTATTTTAGTTGTATATTAGTTATATATTAGTCGTAATAAGGTCGCAAATTTTTTTTTTTTTTTCGGTGGTGTACCCTGAAATTGCTGCGACCCAAGCGGGTTATTAGGGTTAAAACCCCTTTTTACGGCCCTAGTGTACATATATATTTCTATTGCGTCTAACTTTTTAATCAAACTTATGCGATTTACAATAATAAGGTAGCAGACAAGTAACAATCCTTCTCGACGGAATATTCCGATACAGTCCGTCGCAAATTCGCGATTTATGACGGAATTTTTTGTGTTTCCCGTTGTAAATCCATCACAACTGTTGCTTACGACGGAATATCCGTTACAATTTTAGTCGTTTATAGATAGTTGTTTTTTTTAATAAAAGTATATGATTAGTGACGGAAAACTAGTATAATATATTCCTACGCCTTACTATGTTATAATATGTTTAATCATAACATAGTCTTTGTTCATTACCCAAAAAAAAACATAGTCTTTGTAATTTCAACCATAACGACTTATTATATCGAAACTTGACTAATATTTGAAACCCTATTTTTTTTTTGTTGAATTATTTTTGTAATATAATTTTTTCTTTGTTAGGTTTCTTAGTTGTAAAAAAGTGTGAAACGCGTCGATGATGTGTGTGCTGTGATATCTTGGATATCAATAAGGGTAGGGAGTGATCGTCGATATGTAACGGTATGGATAAGGAGCAACTCATAGCATATTTCTAGTTAGGAGGGATATGGACACGCATTGAATGTAAAGGAATGAGAGAGATGCGAATGTTTTGTAGGTATGAGTCTATACATCCCATGATAATTTAAAAGTATTAATCATACAAACAAGATACACCTATCTTTTCGTTTGTTTATATCGAAAGAACTCTAAATTTAAGTATGCTCTAAAGTAGTTTTATGATAAGGGTGAAAAGTGATTGTTGGTGCAACTAGCACGGATAAGGGGTGACTTGTTGGGATTTAGGCTACAGATTCCTAGCATGCGATCATATCGATCTAGGGTTTGGTTTACTAGGTTTCATGCAGCGGAAGGATAATCTAAACCTAGTCAAACGTCACACGCAACCAAAATCATCCGTAAAACCCCGACAGATCGTGTATATCACCGTAGGAATCGAATACTTACCTCTTTCCTGAAGATCTGAAAGTAGCGATCGATCCAGGGCCTGTTTTAATCACCAAGAGCTGAAAGTACA